CCAGGCTGGCCTCGAACTCACAGAGATCCACCTGGCTCTGCCTCCCGAGTGCTGGGATTAAAGACGTGCGCCACCACCGCCTGGCTAAAAATGTAATTTTTAAAAGAATGATGGAAGACCTGGGGATATAGCTCAGTGGTAGAGCACTTCCCTAATTTGTGTGAAGCCCTGAGGAAGCTCCCCAGTGCTAAAATAAAAGCAGCCAAACAACACAGTTCCGGAAGGAGGGGCACGGGAGATAGTAGCTCACTTGGTAAAGTGCGTGCCCAGCAAGCATGAGGCCCTGAGTTCAATCCCCAGCCCCCACATTAAAAGACAGACAACAACAACAGGTTGCTGATGCACACTTGTAATGTCAGCATTGGGGAGGTCAAGACAGGAGCACCCCTGGGGGGCCAGCCTAGCCTATTTGGAAAGCTCTCGAGTGAGGGGGAAGGGTCTAGAATAGTGATTCTCAACATGTGGGTCGCGACCCCTTGGCAAACTTATGTCTCCAAAAATATATTATGATTCATCATAGTAGCAAAATTACAGTTATGAAGTGGTAACGAAAATAACTTCATGGTTGGGGGTCACCACAGCATGAGGAGCTGTATTAAAGGGCCGCAGCCTCAGCCGCTGACATAGAGGAATGGCAAAGTTGTCCCCTGGCCTCTACATGTGTATGTGCACACTGGAGCGCGCGCGCATGCGCGCGCGCGCGCGCGCGCACACACACAAACACACACACACACATACACACACACACACACACACACACACACACCAACACACACGTAAAACAACGACAGAAGGAACCAAGGTGGGTGGCACAGGTCTATAATCTCAGCGCTGGAGGCAGGAGGATCAGGAGGTCAAGGCCAGTCTGTTCTACATGCAATCTTCCCTTAAAAAAAATTAAAAGATAAAAAGCACAATGAAAGAGCGCGTGCCTAGCACACATGATGTTTTGACTCCCCAGTAGCTTAAAAGACTGACAGAGGCGCAGTTTAAGGAAAGAAGGGATTCTGTCTTTAATAACATGGCCGCTAAGCATATAGAGAGTGTAAAGAAAGAAACCTAGAATCTCGTCTTTAAGGAGGGCCACATTCACAGGTTGGGAAGAATATACACGGGAAAGACGACTGAGAACGAGTGACAAATAGAAGGGTGGGGGAGGGGGGAGGCTGGAGAGATTGTTCCCGGGTCAAAACGCTTCCTTGCAAGCCTGAAGGCCACAGTTCAAAGGATCCACAGAACCCACATACATACGGGGCGGGCGTCGCAGCCCGCTTAAAATTCCTGCAAAAACAAACTCGCCAGAGGAAACTGGCGAGCCATATGGAAGAGCTCTGGGTTTGATTGAGAGACCCTGCCTGGATGAATGAGGTGAGAAAATGACCGAG